TCTATCTATCTATCTATCTATCTATCTATCTATCTATCTATCTATCTATCTATCTATCTATATCATTTCTTAGACAGTAAGGTTTGCATTAAAAAAAGCTTAATTTACAACCTGACTGGGGACTCAAAAGTAGTTTCCCTTTCTGTTTCTTTTTTTCTTCCTGTGGAGATAGTCCCTTAAAAAATAGATAAGAAAAAGCATGAATGAACAGTTGGAGATAGCTAATAAATAATGTGATAACAGAAATATAACCCTGCAATATCTTAACAGGTATCTATTTGAAATGATGTACTATGAATTTTATCATGTATTAAGATAAAAGCTAATCTTATTTAAAAAAAACACAATACATGATTTACCTGATTTAATTGACCAGAGTGTTTAACAGCACTGGATATAGGGGTCCCACATGGATTTTCTAACATCAGAACACCTTAGAAAGTTAAAATTATAGTTTGTGAAAAAGTTTACATGTCTGCATCAACTTTCCAAATACTTTTGACCTCAGTCAAAAATCAGCTAGCTCTCAAGACCTGATTCATTGTTAAACCATGGTTTGTTAAATACATCATAATTGTCTGAATTTATGCACTGCCTTGTCTTTAATGAGATGCTTATAACTCATAATTGCATTCATGCAACATGTTAAGGCAAAAATAAACAAATAAAGAGAAACTTTTGGAAGGCTATCTCTCAAAAGAGGTTTACTGGTTTTTGTTTGGTTCATCTGAAGAAATTGCTAAGGTTACAATTCGAAGTAAAGTGGGGAGGGCAGAGTTGCAATTTTTCTAATGAAAATTTCCCTCCCTTTCACTACTCCCTCTTTCCTCAATCCAGAGATTAAGCACTTTTTTGGGGTGAGGGTAAAAGTCTCAACTAGCAAAGTGAAAAATTTAAAGTTACCAGGGAAGGAAAAATCTTGATTTAATATCCTCCATTTCACTACACAAGTGAACATTTGCATAGACACAATACCCCTGAAATAAACTCTCTGTCTGCACAATTTACTGAAATGTATCTTATGTCTACCCCAAACAAGCATCAAGGATTATATCCAGAGCTCTTATTTCATAAATGGAAACAAATTTCATCATTTCCATTCCTTACACTAACTTTTGTACAGCAAAGCATACTTAATTTGCTGACTAGGCATTTCTTCCAGCTGACAGGCTAGGAAGCAATTTTCAGTGACTGTAGCTCTCAATCCCAAACTCTCATGCTGATTGTTAATATCTGCACTGCTGTAGATCTAAATCATAGCTTTAGAAAACTAAGATCAACGCCGAGGCCATCAGTTTAAACCTGATGAATGTAGAGTAAAACATCCATTAGCAGCATTGGACTGGAGCTAGAGTTCATACCTGCAGCTCCTTTGTGCTGTGGACATTCTTTTTTCATGTGTCCTTCCCTTCCACAAATAAAACAACGTTTTTCTCTTAAATCTCTGTCTTCTTGCCGCTTCCATTTCTCTCCCATTGGCTTGGGAGATTTCTCTTTTCCAGTTTCCATTCCTCCTCTTCCTGATTTATTTTTCTTAGGCGCACATATTTGCAGCTTCCCATCCTTTAACAACACTTCTCTTTCTGAAGTTTTAATTGGGGTCTCTTGTTCATCTTTACTTCTTTTTTCTTTATTTTCTGTGTATCTTTGGTTTTTAGGATCTTCACTATCATGCCGTCTGCGGAGTCTATAACAGTATTAATTGAAATATTTTTTTCTTTTATGCAATTTAAGCCTGAGAATTGTACTATAGCAAAATCACTTTAAAATGTGCTGGATTCCTTTCTCCTACTGCACATCTTGGAGCTAACAGTAAAATACATTTACTAGTCTTTTGCAATTGCATTTCGCATTTTTAAAGTTTTTAATACTGTATATTATTTCTGTACTGCTTGTATTTTCAAATGTCAAAACAAATTTACTTGGAAGATTCTCAATCAAAACTAAAGGCATTGATGAAAACAACTGTATACAACATACAATACTTCATTAGGTCAATCTAATGCCATATTTTCAGTAACAGACTAATAATTTCAAATTATGAGGATTCATAGTTTCAGAATACTATACGTGTTTTAAACCACCTATCTTCTGTATGCAGCACTAAAATAAAGAGGAAATATTTTTAAATTTCTAATACTTAGATCATTTCTGCACTTGAGCAAAAACAAACTTACTTTCTCCTCATCGGGCAGTCTTTCATGAAATGTCCAATTTTACCACAAATTCTGCAACATCTGTCATTTGGGGCCAATTCTCCTTCTGTAAGCACTTCTGGATCAAAAAAATATTCCTAGCAAAGCATTAAGCATAGTAAACTTTTAAGATCTGAAGATTGTCCCTAAAGCACAATAAGTAAAAGCTACTTCCTAAGTCTGACTGTCCTAGTATTTAAGTAAGATTGTTTATTTCAGTAAGAACTCTAGAAAACATGTAAAAACCTACAAAATTACAACTTTGAATCCAATTCATATATAGGTTCAAGTTAATTTGAAATAGTTAATTCAAGTGAATACAGATTCAAGTTAATTTGAAAGTCTGATTAAATGTTGAAGGGCAAATTGTATTAAATGAAACAAAATTGCAATATTTAGTTACAGATCCACTATTTATGACATGGAAACATTTGAACATATGCTTTGATGAGTAAGAGCTTTCAATAACTTTGTAAAGATATGTTAGTTTCTAGAGTACCTAAAATATCTTGTATATAGATTGCAGTTCCATTATCAAAAATACCATCATAGATTTCTTCAGTAATTTCATTTATAAACTATATCATAATGGTCATACTTTTAAGTAACCATCTATTAATTTAAAATATGTATTTATTTTCTCCCATCAATAAAAATATATAAACTGACTAAGAAAAAGCATCATTAATGAAATACTTGAAAGGCAACTGGGTCATGAATTTTCTAACACTCACCATTTTTGAAGGATATTCTTTTGGAAATCCTCTTATTGGAGTGCCAAATACCCTCCTGCCATTTATAAAAGCCTTCATTATAAAATTTGTCACTAAAATAATGGAAACAAAGATAATTAATGGTGTAATTAAAAATAACCAATATTTATTTAGATGCAAGTATACAAAAGATAACTGACAAAGGATCTTACTTTTTCTTGATAATCCAGCTCCAAGATTATGATTCAGATCAAAAGGATCTGCAAAGCAAGTATTAGACATTAGCAAAATCCATAGAAAAACATTAAACAAGCCTTATCAACAGAATGGCTATTTCAAAACAAGTTTATATCTCTTTGACACATAGGTAGAGTTCACATACTGTATTAAATACTAATTTATTTAACAAGCTATAATGATCTGGTTCCTATGAGTTATAAGCAATTGTTCACAGGCCACAGTATGGCATAGTGTGGCAGATGCACTCAGTCCTAAAAAAGAAGAGTGATAGTTAAGTTCTAGATTATATAAACGAAAAAACTCGAGTGAAGTGTTGAGGATCATAACATTCAGTCAATCTTTTTACCAATACAAACTTCATTAGAACTAGAATTCAATACAGTCACGGAGTAAAGGGAAAATTCCAGTGCAAGGAGGAGAAAGCAGTGAAATGTCCTTTAGGATCTGCCCTCAGAAACACAGAATAAGGTTGGATGGAAAGAAGAATGCTATGCAGATAAAGCTACAAAAAAGGATGGCAGGGTCAATATCATATCCCCGTGTTTTCATCTGTAACATTCAAAAGAACTAAATGATTTCGAGCGTTCTGCACAACACGAAGTACATTATGAGACACAGAAAGAATAAGAGAGACCATAAGGTTAGTTCAGAATCTACAGAAAGTACTCTACAAAACCATTCTATATTACAAAACAATTCTGGTGTGTGCTGTATTCCCATCTTATTTCGTTAGAGACCATTTCTTTTCTGTGCTCTTTGTTTAATGTAACATACAGAGAAATGGCAGTGGACCAGTAGCTCCTGTGTAGACTGTCAGCCGTGGCCATAGTGAAAGGACATCAAGAGAGGCATCATGCAGAAGAATGTTACGTTTGCTATCTTTCTTCAATGAATAATAGTAGTATAATTCATTCCAGTGCCAGACACTGTTATGCACTTAGCAGCTAGTCACCCAATAAAGCCCTTGCAATAAAAAAAATATATGTTAAAATGTCAATAAAATGTTCATAAAGTAGATACCTTCAATGACTATGTATTTCGAAGTCCACTGTTTCTTGAACGTTGTAAGCAAATTTTTTCTTCGGATGCAGATAACATGCTCTTTAAAATCAAATTCCTCAGTATAAAAACGTAGAAGTCCTAGCCATAATTCACCAATGGATTCTTTATTTTTACCAAAATCTGACCAAACATCTGACTGAAAAGAGAGGGCGGGGAGAAACCTTTTTTGATCATTTTTTTAGGGGGTAAAATTTTAAAATGGAAATGTAATTTAATTATTATGCACAGACGAACATTTTAACCTGTGTGCAAACGAAACATATTCTTCTGTTTTTTTGATTATTCTAGGATAAAAGTTAAAGTCCTATAAAAGCATAAGAAACATGTCTGACTTCACTGAATATAAAATCTGATAATCTGAAATAATATGTTTATTAACTAATTCCCTTTCGCCATACAGAAGCTGATTCCTGGGTTTAATAATATAGGCAGAGATTGTCCTTGTTTTACTCAGCAAATGTTAGGAATGTAAAATTTAAGAATACATACAACATTTCCCCCTGAATCAGTCAGATTCTCACCAGTTCATTTATTCTGTCAAAGAAATAAACATTCCAGCCATCAACTAGAATTTCAGGTTTCTTTGGCTCTGTACAGATCTAAACAAAGAAGTATTAAATATTAGGTTAGCATTAAATTGGTAGCCTTTGAATTATTTTAAGTAGACATGTACAAACAACAATTATGTACTATACCTCTTGAAGAACTGGAATAACAGGTGGACTTCTCTGCTGAAGAAAATAGAGCACCATTAGAGTATATGCATAGGAAGATAAGCTGCCTCTGGATGCATCACCAATGTCGCACATCTGGAATGAGAGAGAAAAATTAGCTTTAAGACTTGGTTGCTCTTGAAGTTTCCCCCATAAGACCTGGACATTGCCTTACCTTTGTAAATACTTTCATTGTGTAGCAAAGATATTTTACTCTGGGATCAATTGTGGCATAACAAGACAAGAGCCTTGTGTTATGCAAAGCCTGTAAAAAACAAAAAGACAAAGTAAAAGTCTCATTTTCTTTTACAGAAAGATTTGGAAAGGTAAAATGAGAAATTCAGGCATGGAAAGCTGTTCAGAAGTTTATCAAGTTTTAGACTAATACATGGTAGAATTTCGTTTCTCTTTTCAAGTAAGAAAAGCTTCATTTTTAAAATATATCATTAAAATTAGTCATTTCAGGAAATCATATGCTTTTTTGGGACTGATATATTAAGCTATTTTCACAGACTATTTTGAAACAAAATATTGTAAAGACAGGGTTGATGTATTTATCTTCTGACTTCTCAATTTTAGTCAACTGCCCATATCATTGCTTGCTATTTTGTTTTTGGTCCATATGATGATGATTCAAATATAAATTGAAAAATTATTTCTCCCTGGAGCCATTCCTATTTATAAAAACTTCCTAATGAAATATTTCCAAATACTTCCAAATATTTGAATAAATATTCACATTTCAAACAGTTAAATGCTCTTACCAATGTGTTATACAGACTGATGTCTACTTCAAGGCCACTTCGGATATGAAAAAACTTGACAATCGGCACTTTAGCAGTTGTTATGGGTAAGATATTTCTTAAACCTATGCAAATACAAAAATACTTACTTCAAATGAACTTAGTGACAATATTAGACTTACAATCCAGTAGACTAAATAAAACATGAAGCTTAAGCAACAAAAACATACATACTTATTTCAGGGCAAGTCTCAGTTAATTCCACAGTCCTTATTTTAGTCAAAAGTCTTTTGGAAAATTATCAAGATGCTTCACTACAAAAATCACTAAGCAACGGCAGAGTTATTTCAGGCTTTTCTGTATTTCATAATAACAAAAAATGCATTCAGTACACTCAGTTATAGGAAAAGATTGTGTCAGCATATGTAAACAGAATGGGAACCAGAAATCAGACAAAAGACAGAACTATAAAAGATGTTGATATAAAAAAAAGTATATAGGGCAAGATGTTTTAGTGAATCAAGTTTTACTGGAAAGCTAATAAAAATTCTACTATGAAATAGCACTTTAAGGAGGCTATGGTCCGCCCCCAAGAAACCATCACTGGACTCCACCCGGTTGGATAATTTCTGACCTGTCTCCAATCTTCCCTTTTGGGGGAAGGTTGTTGAGCAGGTGGTCGCGCAACAGCTCCAGAGGTTTCTGGATGAAATGGATTATCTCGACCCCTACCAGTCTGGATTCAGGCCTGGATTTGGGACAGAAACAGCATTGGTTGCGCTTTTGGATGATCTCTGGTGGGAGCGGGATGGGGGTAGTGCATCTATCCTTGCTCTACTTGACCTCTCGATGGAATTCTCCTGGGGCGGCTTCGGGGGATGGGAGACCTTGTGCTGTCTTGGTTCACTTCCTTCCTCTGCAGCCGCTCTCAGTCTATGTTGATAGGAGGGGAAAGATCCAACCCTCACCCACTGCTTTATGTGGTTCCGCGGGGCTCAGTACTCTCTCCACTCCTGTTCAACATTTATATGAAGCCACTGGGTGAGATCATCCATCACCATGGACTGAGGTATCACCAATATGCTGATGATACTCAGCTGTATGTCTCGGCCCAGGGTGAGTTAAATGTTGCTGTATCCTCCCTCTCGCAGTGCCTGGAGGCTGTTAGGGTCTGGATGGTGAGCAACGGGTTGAAACTAAATTCTTGCAAGACCAAGTGGCCCTGGGTTTGGGGTTTGTTGGCTAAGGGAGAATTACCTTTAGTCTTGGATGGGGTGGCACTACCCCAAACAGACCCTGTGTGTAATCTAGGGGTTTTCCTAGATTCACGACTCCTGTTTGAAGAGCAGGTGGCAGTTGTGGCCAGGAGGACCAGGAGGGCCTTTGCGCAATTGCGGGTTATGCACCACATGCCCATTCCTGGATCAGCGGTTCCTATTCATAGCCCCTCGTGCCCTGGTCACTTCCTGTCTTGATTATTGCAACATGCTCTATATGGGGCTGCCTTTGAAGAGGATCCAGAAGCTCCAGTTGATGCAAAATGCAGCGGCCCGCATGGTTTTGGGCAGACCCCAGTGTGTACATGTCACCTCTCCTGCAGGAGCTGCATTGGTTGCCGATTTGCTCCTGGGTGCAATTCAAGCTGCTGGTTATCACCTTCAAAGCCCTTCATGGCTTGGGTCCAGGTTATCTGAGGAAACATCTCTTGCCAGTCACATCTACCCGACCCATTAGAACGGGAAGGCAGGGAATGTTGTGGGTCCCACCCCTGAGGGACCCAGAAGAAGGGTTTTCTCCATGATGGCTCCCTCTCTCTGGAATATCATCCCCCAGAGATTAGAATGGCCCCCACTCTAGCACTCTATCACTCTTCCAAAAGGCACTGAAGACCTGATTTTGCCAGCGGGCCTGGGGAACCCAGAGAGGGATGGAGCCCATCAAATGGCTAGTGTAATCTGCTGTCGTTGGGACGCGGAGATAGGAGTTAGTTTTTGTTTTCCCGAATTTTGTTCTATTGTACTTTATAATTTATTTGATTCTTTTTGTTAGTTTTTATTGTTTTTTATTTTTATTTTTTGTTTTAAATATGGTTTTACATTGTGTAAGCCGCCTTGAGTCACTATGGGCGAATAGGCTGCAATATAAATTAAATAAATAAATAATCAAACAATCAATATATTAGCTGTAACAACATTGGCAAAACTTGGTTTAAACTTTAGCAAATTATCTGAATAAAGATTACAGGCATTCATGAAAGACACATATAATATACTCTCTCAATACTGGCTTTTGAAAAATAAGAACAATATGCAACCCATAAAGTGTTACTTTTTTTCCAATTGAGATTGTCAAAATATTATATAAATATTATATACATAACTGCATCAGAAACCAGTTGAATGCATTTTGATTTCTGAATAATGAAAAAGTGAACAGTTTGGGATACTGCTGTTGGCCAACATTTTTGCTATTTAAAAAATAATTAAGCCAAACCCCAAAGATGCTTTTTCAAGAGGCAACTGTACCTTCTGGTTTTTCAGCTTTGAGCTGAAGAAGCTTCTTGGATGAGAAGCAAAATGTTTTCAAAAAGTCCAGTTGCCTCTTGAAAAAACACCTTTGGGACAATCATGACCTGGATGACTGAGAATCTCCAAAGACAATTAAGCCAAATAGTTATGTAAACAAAGTAACACTACATCAAATATGAGGACCTGATTCAACATTTCATAAGGCAACACAGCTTTTTAATTTTGAAGACTCGGATATTTACCTGAATGTTTCTTCAACACTCTTGCAAGTTCTTTAATAATTCTTATACAATCAAGTCCCTATGATAGGAAAAATGTTAGTATAGTGACAGTATTTATATTAAAAAACCCTTATCCATTTAATAGGTCTCCAGCCTCTTTGCAGCATACACAGGTTTAATTTAAGTACTTGATGCTATTTTGAAGCATGTCTTTGTAATACTAGGTACTGGCTTCTATACTATGTCTAATCCATTTTTGATTTTGAAACTGCAAGCGTATGCTAACTCACAGAAATATTCGCATCAGAAAATGGAAGCATCTTGCAGTCATGACCCAAATGTTGCAAATATTTAAATTGCCAAGGACTTGTTAAACTTAGTAAGGAAAGGAAAAAAGAATGCAAGCATGCAGTTCTTTTTTTTCAGTTGCGAGAGATGTAAAAGTAGAAATAGTGCCTGTATTGTGTATTATTTGGTGAGGGTTTCAAAACATTATACAGTTGAAACAGTTGAATATAGATTATTTTTCTCTTTCAAACGGCAGGTGCTGTTTTCCAAATTCAGCTTAATTTATACATTTATTTCTGAGTGCAAATTACTGCAATGAGACTTATCTTCCACTCATATCTCATAACTACCAAGGACAATACAAGCCATCAAAACAATAACGAACAATCAATATGGTTTGAATAATGGTATTTTCCTAACATTTCTTAAGCAGTTTACTGATTTTAGATTGATATAACAGTAGCTACAGCAGTGTTATGCCTACTCTGAATGAAAACCCAGTTTTTCTGAATTGATATGAGTGGAGTCTGGTTTATTAGCTTTTATTTTCTTACAGTACCTCACTATGGATTTCGAATAACAGAATAGAACCCTGCTGAGACTATTTTAGTAGTTTGTAGTTTGGTGTCCAGTCTGTATACCAAAACTATAATGATGGGTAACCAAACACATCTGTGCACACACATCTAGAACCTTAGCAGTTTACAAAACAAAAAAGACACATACAACACATATTTATGTTCATCAAATTGTCTATATCGACCAGGTACCTCAGCAGTTTCCAGACCATCAATTGTCATACAAATATCAAGATCGCTTTGCTTGAAGCCAAATCCATTCTTTGAAGATCCAAACAAGTTTAATTTTGTGCCTATAAAGAAGGATATATATCTATGACTAATTCACACAAACTTTTAGCATAGTTAGCAATACATGCTTTAACATCAGATTACTTAAAAATATAAGAAAATTGGGTTCAGCATACAATATTTTTCTATCAATAAGGCATTTTGTTTGAACAAGATTTTGATGAAAATAATAAAAATCACTTTAAATCTCTGAATTTAAAATAAAATAAAAATTAACTACAGGAGGCACCTGGAAATTCTTGTCGGATGAAACCTTCAAGATTTTGTCTTATATATTCCCGAGCCTGGTCTTCTATAACGTTTGGAGCAAAATCTTCTGTTGAAAACAGAATCCAATTTACATTCATTTACAAATGGAACTGTGGCAGAAAGTAAGAGACACACAAAACAAGCTGTTTTTCTTTTGCTTGAGTTTTAGTTTTAGTATTACAAATAAAAAATGTTAACAGTAAATCAGTTATAGCCATTATGAGACCAGATAGGAGTAGCAACACAGATCCAGGTACAACCGGTTATAGTAGGGCAAAGTTTGGTAGGAAAATTTAAATTAAAAAATGGAGGATCACATAACTGGTAACAAAAAATGGGTCAACATCTTTCTCTTCTGATAATAAACCCCTATATTACAAGTAGAATATAGTTGCAGGAAACTATTAATACTTTTTCTGCTAACTATTAACAAATTATTAAAATACAGTTCTTCCAACTTACTGTAACATTGAATGCACACTTGATCCAGAATACTAGAAAACTTGGATGTTAATGGTGGCAAAGGATCCAGTTCAATTTTTTTAAAGTCTTCTGGACAGTCCCTCTTTAGATGACCTTCTCGCTTACATAAACTGCATACAACTGTAGGAGTCTAGATCAAAAGAAAATATTTATCTGAAAATGTCTCTTCTCTCAACTTTATTAGACCACCTAGCTCCCAAAATTAAAGAGCAACCATTGTTCAGGCTTGGATATATATTGATGATGGGTGAAATCCAATGTACTCCCAGTGACTTTAGTAGATCTGAGGATATCATTTTCCCATCATCCAAATATTTTTCAATCTTCTAACCTTTCAGAGCAAATATTTAATATCTTCATATCTCAATTTGGTCTAATACTTTTGCTTCATATTCCGAAACAGCCAAAATGCGCTATAATATATTGCAATTAGGACAAGAATGTTCTTAATTCCCACATGAACGATGTTTCTCAGCTACTTAGGAAATCAGTGATGGAGTATATTATGAATAGGATATGCATCACACCACACTACTCTAATCAAAGATGAAATTTAACTTCACATTATAAATACTTAAACTAGAAGTTTGCTATGATCTTCTATTTACTTTAACAGGAGACAGAAGCTCACAGATAATTTGTCTGTGAATACAAACTGGCAGGAATTAATATTTCAGGATTCAGTTGGGTACAATCATGGATGGAAATCGCTTTAAAAAACATTTGAATCCAGATTCTTATATGTAGAATTTGTAGGTCAAATTTTATCAGTGTGGATGTTAAGTCCTACTTCTACAGATAAGTCTGTCCTGGAATTAAAGCATTTTATGATTAGTAATACTTTGATATGTAGGTGCTATTACCTTGCCTTTTGTGAAAGCAGTTTTATTAAATTCATAGAAGAATTCAAGTTTATTACTCTGGTCTACTGGCTTGGTGCTTTCAGTAAGGACTTCTTTTTCAGGATCATCTTCTTTGTTCAAATCTACACTTGAAACTTCATCTACTCTCTTCTTTAGCGCAATGTCCCCATGAGCAATAAGCAATTCCTCTTCGGAAAGAGGTTCTTCAACACCAGATCCAGTGTATGTATTGTCCAGCTCATCTTCGGTATTGATTATGTTCTCATGTTGCCCTTGGTTTTTAATACTATGCTCTTCGTCTTCTTCCTCTGTTTCTTCCTCCTCATCTTCTTCCGAGTTATCCATTTCAGATACTTGTTCCTGAGTTGGCGGTTCCAGTTTGAACAGGGAATCATCCAGTTCATCAGTACCTTCTGTGCTCTCTTCATTAATGTCAAGTTTATCATTTGGAATACCACTGTCTTCTAAACCAAACTCCTCAAGGGCAGTTATTACATTTTGAAAATTTTCCAAATCAGAAATGCTGTCTGTTTCAACATCATGCTCACTAATTGGAATAGCAAGATCTCCACTTTCACTGTCTTGGTTACTATCCAAATGTTCCTGCTCGTGCCCCTCTTTCTCTTCCTCCTCTTCATTTCCACTCTCAGTCTCTTCACAGCTTGGTTTAAATTCCTCATTGTCACCCGAAATGAATTCTTCAATTATGCAATCTGAGTCCTCATAAGACATTCCTAAATGTTCACCATCTGCCAACTGTTCTTCCACAAAGTTTTCATCAATAAATACCTGAGAAGGCTCACACATATGTTCTTCAGGAAAATATGAACTTTTCTTGGTAGAAGTTATACAGCTGTCTATTACAGTATTCTCCATTTCATTATGGACATTTTTAATATCAGGGACTGTTTGCTTAAAGGCATTCTTCTCAGGTTCTAGAGGTATTGAGCCCTCTACAGATTTTATTTGGTTGTTTTTTGCATTCTGTTTATGAGGCAAGGCAAAATACTTGTAAGTTGACCGTAAACAATGAAGTATATACTCATATACTAACTGACTATTAAGAGTTCTTGCCACATTCCTCTTTACGGAATAAGGATCTGAGGAGAGAAAAAAGGTAAAAAGTATTACGGAGGATTAAATATTATGCTCATGTTTTCATTCTTTAAATGTATTAACCAAACAAGAATAGGCACTAATTTACCTCAAGCCTTTCAATCAATCATTAGGCTGAGAAACCTATAGAAATATAAGTAGAACTCATTTTATTATTGGTTGCTTAGTGACCTTTCAAAGTTCTAATGGACCTATTTGGGGGTACTTATGAGCTAGATTCAATGACCAGAAATCACAGGTTTCCTCCAGTCACATGACTACACTTCAGGCCTACATAACTGGGCCACATTTACATCTATTTGTACTGTCTTACAGTTGACTGTGTTTTATGACAGTTGCTAAAAACAGGCACTTACTTCCAGTTTTTAGCAAAACCATGTCCATGGCTAACCATTGGTTCACTTAACAACCATGATATTATGTAATGACTGTGGATAAGCTTAATGACCACGATAGTTTACTTAACAACCGCTGCAAAAAAGTTAATAAAATCAGATAGGTAACATGACTGCCCGTTTTACAAACTGCCACAAGTTATGACTGTGATGAGCAGTTGTACCTCAAGGTCAACCTGTGTATTACCCAATCCACATGACTAAGAAATGAACATTTAAGACTTGCAACATGAATACAATGAGCGTGAGAACCAATTTAACCATTGTTCAATAGATCACAAGTTCTGAATTTTCACATTTTATTTTACTGAGCCCCGTTAAGTCAAAAAAGAAGTCTGCCTTCAAAATATGCTCTAGTTGAGATTCTGCACAATATATTTTGAGAATGTTAGGAAACTGCACCTTCCTGTTTCATCAGTAAAAATCATCTCTGCTGACCAGAGTTAGTACTGGATTTTATCTTTTAAATCATAATATATAGTGATATAAGTTTCTCCTATACTGAACATAACTAAGCACTGGCAAGCCAATCTATATAATATACCTTCCACAGCAATTCTTTTTTTAGGCCAGTCCTTGGATTCACGAGCTACTTTTTCTTTGAGCCGTATGCTTATCACCAAGTCAGACAGATTAAACTCCAAGGCATAAAAACGAAGCAGTTCAACCCACAGCTGTCCAATTGGAACTGAACACTGTTGATCTGAATCAAATACTAAAGGAACCTGTCAATCAAAACAAAAATTGAGTCAGTGTTCACCCAGAAGCCATATTTGGAAGCTGACAAATATGACTGTACTATTGTTAATTCTTTTAAAGAACAAGTGCAAGGTAATGACTAAAACATCTAATGAATGAAACAAAGGGAGTCTAATAAAACAAAGGTAAATAGAACAATGCCTTGTGTGGAGGGTTGGGCTGAAACTGAATGACCAAGTCACCACTCCAATTATCATGCCTAAGGCATCTTCCAGTGCCCTACTTTTTAGGCCAGCACCTTCACCACTATACCAAACTTGCTCTTTGAATAGGCTAAACACTATTCTAAGTATTTATATAAAGTATAAAATGTTGCAGACAAATTAGGAAAGTAGTCGTGTGATTAGATTAGATTTCTTTCAATACCTGAGCTCTGATAAAAGCTCTGTTGTGAAACTAGATTGTTATGGTTAAAATATATGATTCTGTCAAGAGCACAAGCTTGACCTCGGAAACAATATATCATGAATTTCTTTTTAAACATTTAACTTGTTTAAATGGATATGGGATATACACACACACACACACACACACACACACACACACACACACACACACACATATATATATGTTTTCTTAAGTTTTCGCAGGTACTTACATGTATGGCATTCAGCTTTGCAGATGAGATTCTGCTGAAACGTTGCTACAATTTTAAAAGCACAACTACAATGACGTGGGAAAATACCCGAACAAAGCTGAATGCCATATCTATCTATCTATCTATCTATCTATCTATCTATCTATCTATCTATCTATCTATCTTTGGTTATTTGGGTTTTCTTCTGCGTAAAATTGGAAGTATCTAGGCAATGTTTCGATGAAGTCTCATTCATCATCTTCAGGCTTGTGTCTTCGGCTTTGTGCTTCTCGGAGTAATGTGAGCTTCTTCCTTTTAACTGCTTCTTCCTTTGCAGCTGCTTCTTCTTTTTAACTGCTAGTGGGGGTGTGACTTGATTGGGTGGGGGCTTGGCTGTGTTCTGATTGGTTGGGGGATTGGCTGTGTTCTGATTGGCTGGAGGGGTGTTCTGTTCAGGTGGGGGCTTGGTTGTGCTCAGGTTAGTCTTAGTTGCTGGGGGATTTGAGCTGGTGAGCTGTGATTCTGCTGTTTGGCTTCGAGTTCGTGGTCGTGCTGCATCTTCATGGTGGGTGTCAGTTTGCTTCATGTATAGCTCGGAGGGGTTGTTGCCATTCACATTTCATTCTGTCTCTCTTTTTGCATCCTTTCTTTAATGATTCTATTCCACAATTTCTTGAAATATTTATCGAAGACACAAGCCTGAAGATGATGAATGAGACTTCATCGAAACGTTGTCTAGATACTTCCAATCTTACGCGGGAGAAAACCCGAATAACCAAAGATCCACATACTAATACCCGCGAGAACCTCAGAAAACATATATATATATATATTCCAAGTGTATAGGAGTCCTCGACTTACCACAATTGAGTCCAACATTTCTGTTATTAAGTGAGACATTTGTTAAATGAGTTTTGCCCCATTTTATGACCTTTCTTGCCACAGTCGTTAAGTAAATCACTGCAGTTAACAAGTTAGTAACATGGTTGTTAAGTAAATCTGGCTTCCCCATTGATTTTGCCTGGCCAAAGATTGCAAAAGATGATCACATGATCTTGGGACACAGCAATGGTCATAAGTATGAACCGATTGCCAAGCATTCAAATATTGATCACATGATCATGGGGCTGCTATAAATGTCACAAGTGTGAAAAATGGTCATAAGTCAGTTTTTTCAGTGTTGTTGTAATTTTGAACAGTCACTGAATAAATTGTTGGAAGCCGAGAACAACCTGTACTCAAAAAAATTAGCAGAATGGTGCAATGATTTATTCTACACTTATAAGCAGATGATAAGAAAGGCAAAGATTATTCCAAAGGCTTTTCCATTAGGACAATTCCTCCTCCTCATAGGATCCTTATCATTAGCTGCTGTAGGGAAATAATTCTAGAACAGAAAGAAGACAGGCTGACAAATGCCCTCCTCAAGCCAACTCCAGCTGATTGCCCCATCAGACATCATCACTGGTCATCATCTGTCCTACAGGAAGTATACCAATTAGTAGTTCCTCTAAAAAAGGTGGCTTTTACTAATGACTGATATTCTATTCTGCCCCTCAAGATAACTATGATTTAGCTTACACTTAAAATTATTCAAAATCATTCAATTTCTATTCAAAATTGAAAGGTGAAAAATATGGTAGTCATATTATTACAGTTCATTGGTATACTTCTATTTTAACTATAACCTGGTGGATTCTAGTTTCTGTATCTTTGTTATGTACTTAGCTCTGAAACCATACAAACCATTATAGAACATACTAAAGATATCAATTACTTTATTTTTAAATGAATATTACATTTGTTAAATACAATATTTGTTTCCCATGCTAATTTATAGATTCCATGGTTTTTTAATTCTCTGGTCCTGAATAGAGAACTTTCATACTATACTGGTCATCAAGATTTGTTTACTGTAATTAATGGAAATGTTCTACAGTAAGGCTTCCTTTTTAAATAATACCCACATTTATTTGATGGCATTTTTTAAATTCTGACAATTGCTATCAGTTTATTGAAACCTATTTCATTATAAATTAGCAACACAAGCGTTTTTGAAAATGTATATTTAAAGCATTATATCCCTATAATTAACTTGTTAACATACCTTTCCCCTTTTAGGAGAAGATTCCTTTGAAGAACTGGGATCAATACCAGGGCTATATTCCCAGACCACAGTATTATTTTCAACTTCTTTAAGATTAAAATTCACTAATTTGTTTAATGAAAATCCTCCAATCTAATGTAAGGGGGAAAAAACCATTAGAAACAATTACCTCAGGAAAAAAAAATCAACATTAAAGACAGAAATTTTTAAAAGATTTCACTTCTCTCAAAGATACTATTTTGGTCGATTCTGTTTTTTTGCGAGTGTCATTTTAAAAACATCTGGATGTGATGTTTTGGATGAGGTAATACCAGAGAATTATGTAATGTAAAGATACTATTGTTTCTAAGTCCTGGGTTTTTTTTTACATCTGGCTTTGTATTTTAACATACACTGTACATGTTTTCCAGTATTAATCAAATATTCCTTCTGTGATCATAGCTAATTTAGACTGTTGATATCTATGAGAAGCCATGGTTTGTCTTCTACAATTCATTATTTTCATTAACAGTTAGTCTCATTGGCTGTTCTTTATGCTATTAAAGATATTCTTTCTTCATTAAGAATTTGGAAAAAGGGCTATTTTTTTTCTCAAAACAGCATTCAACTCAACAAATATTATGAACTATTTAAATACATAAAAGCAACAGCTAAAGAATAATGACTAGACTAGCTTTTTCTTTGTATATTAAACATGGTGTCAGCACTAAAACACCTGACCTGAAAATAAATTCCACAATTAGGAAATTATCTTCCTGAAGATATTTTTTCTAGGGTGCATGTTTTAATGTATAAATCTGACACATACAAAAGTGGACCTTATTTTAATATTTTAATAGATTAGCATGATCAGATGGAAGATGGCAATAATTGAGTTAAACTTGGCCCTGATAACTTAAGATGCCATAATCCTACTCTGTTAATTCTGGATCCAGCACAGAACTTTAAAAGCGAACAAACTGTCATCATTATAATAGATCGCAGCTAATATCTAGATTAATTTTCTGAACCTATTATGAGATTTTACCACTGCTTATTATCTGCTACTCATTCCCAACTTAAGGACATTTAATAACTGCTTATAACCAATAAAAGCCATTATAGCTTGTATCTTTGTTATTCATAGGACTATTGATCAAGGCAGAATCTGCTCTCAATGCATGCAGTCAAAGAAGGCATGATATGGGTCTCATTTCATCCAGAATTGAGAGAAATGATAATTCAGAACACAAATTCCCTGCTCAAAAACTGACTCTTACTCTGCTATCATTCAGAAAAGCAATTAAGATTGTGTCATTTCAAAGAGCTTTTGGAGGGGAGGGCATTATATATACTGCCAGTGTGGCCCATGAGCAGTCAATCAGCCAGACCAATGAAGTGTTACAATTATGTTAATTTATTTCATCGATTTTGAACTGTATTAATGTAATATGTACCGTACAAGCAATAATAAATATGTAATTTTCTCCCTCTTTTTGGAAAAAAGTAGAAATTTATAATCTCAAAGCTACATAAACACAAACTGAAAACATTTTATCTGCATTTAAGAATTTTTATAGACACATACCCATGAACCTAAATAGACAGGCAGAAAAGGTTCCTTCCTTTGTTGCAGAAAGAAAATAACCATTAGAGCAAATACATAAGATGGTAAACCACCTTCTTCAGGATGATCTATACAACATAGCTAAAACAGAAAGAAAAATATTTATTAAAATAGCATTATCAAATGTGTCCACTTGACAGTTCATGTATTTGAAGAAACTAATCACACTTTTACTATAAAATATTTAAATATACTCCTAGGGCCTAGGCAAACTAAAAAGATAGTTCTATACTTCTACTTTTGAGTTATACACTGACATGTAGCTACAGCAATTTTATAGACTGGGCCATGACACAGTACCTAATTACCATCATATGACGACATCTAATAAAGCTGGATATATAATCATGGCAGACATGGCCACTCCTTTTCACCAGGCTATATGACTAAGGCTTATAAGCTTAATGTAAGGAACAGCTGAAGGGTGTATTCATTTGCAGTAGAAATGCTGTACTCTTTCTACTACGTAGTGTATATTTAAAGCTACTCTTAAAGAAGAAAATACTACAGAAACTGAAACAAACTACTGTAGAGTGGGATCAAAGAATATTAAGAGATCCAATGACAATGATTAGGAAATGAATGAAAGGGGTATGTGTGTGTCACACTCTGGCAAAGCTGCACAATCCAAAAAGTCAATGTGCTTAACTTTATACTATAACTTGATATAACTTAACCATAATTTCAACAAATTGGTTTTATTAATTTTATTTATTACCTCCGTATTCTTTTACTCTGTTACAATTCAGACGCATAATAATATAAAAGTGAGCTTATCATAGTAATCTATTTCAATAAAAACTTCTGCTGATTAACAAAGTCATCTTTACTTTTGGGAAGAAAATTCAAAATCTGGGATAGCCACAAATACTAACCTTTTCTAAACTACTTTAGGATCACTGATATATCATTCTTATGGATGTATTTACTATTTAATGATTAATAAAGAAAACTACTAAATATTTCGAGAAATTGTGGAATAGAATCATTAAAGAAAGGATGCAAAAAGACAGACAGAATGAAATGTGAATGGCAACAATTTTTAAAAATATTTATTTTAAATTAGATTGTTAAATTATGCCACAGCAAATTGCCCCACAATAAGTGGTTGTGGTGAGTTGTCCCACAGAGAATTGGCCATGGTGAGTTGGCTGCAGCAAGCTGGCCATGGTGAGTTGGCTGCAGTGAGGGGAGGGTGGCTAAAGAAAGGGTAAATCCCTTTGCAGTAATAGAAATATTGCCCAACATTTACAAGATGCATCTCCTTACTTTTTTCAAAACAAACTGAGTACACATGGACTATATATTTGATTATATATTAATAAACATGCTTTGCTACTAAACCAAACCTACCTTGGCCCAGTGTCTGAAAGCAATGACCAAGGACACAAGATGAGGCTCTAATCTTCCAAGCATAGCCAAGTGATTGGTCGTCAGACAAGCATTATCATTTCCTGCACTTACTCTGCAAACAAGGCCACTAAAATAATAAACACAGAAATGTTAATGTTTTTCTGGGATATGCAAAATGAAGAAGAGCAATACACAACTGGAAAGGAGTGGCTGTGCTGGAAAAGAATAATGCTACATTCTCTCCATCTTTTTTCTGCGATAAAATTTCTGGTAGAAATCAAGGTGATGCAGTATCACGAGCAGAACTCTCTATTCAATGCCAACAAGTACTGATTTTCCCCAGGGCATTAAAAAGAACTTCATCTGCTGCTACCCCTGTCGTTATTGCTGATGTTACTGCTAAAAATTCCACCTTCCTGCCCACACCAGACTCAAGTCAGCTAACAAGAAGTAGTAATTTAAAAAGTACTTACAATCTAATATTGAAAAATATTGAATATTGAATCATTTAACTACATTGAGGTTTAAAAAAATAGTCATTTGAAATTTTCTTTGTGCATTTAAGCTAGCTTCTGGGCAAGACCCTTGAATGAAAATAGCACTTTTTATTTCAACCTAAATGGGACAACTATATTAACATACGCTGGAAGTATATCCAGAGATTCATTATACAGACAAGCAATTACAATGATAGTTCTTTGAAATTATTTGATACTTACTTCTGTTGTTTGAATAAGTACACAAGCTTACATGTACATTATTAATTAGGGTTTTTGTTAGAACAGGTCTGTGAAATGGCATTCAATTAAAGACATGTAGAAGAATTTAGGAATGATTAGGGCCTGAATTAACTAAATTGCATATCTACTGTATTTTCCATTAGCAGTGAAGACCATTGATTTGAAACAGTGCTAATATGGTGATTACCCAGTGCAAGTAATTTTAATGTATTTAGTTGCATATAAATTGCAACTAAAGAGAGTAAGAGGCTAGGAAACCTCCGTTATTATAATGATGAAAAATGAAATTTTAGGCAAGTAAAATTTATAAAGGTAATGAAATAGTTATATTTCACTATTTACTTCAGGATAATAAATCCTCCTTTTCCAGATTGGATTCCCAGTGCTGGAAAACCTGAAGGACTAGGCAAGGGACAGGTTATCATAGGAAAAAAAATCTATGTGGTTATTAGGTGTTGAAAATGACTTGATGGCACATAATCAAAATGAATACTAAAACTATGGAACTTTTTGCTCATTTTTATAGTATAATCCATTCATTGAGACTTATTTCAGCCAGGGATTTGGGTGAACATGTAGCTAATGTTATGGCCAGTTCAGCGAACCAGCAAATCCCACCCCTGGCTGGTCCCGTCCTTCCTTCCCCGCTCTACCCATCCCAGGATTCTCCATGTGGCCCATTTTGGATGCAAGGTAAGCGCAGGGCCTGAGTGGAGGCTCAGGGAGGGCGCAAAATGGGCCTCCAGGAGGTTCCAGAAATGGGCCCATTTCCGGCTTCTGGAGGGTCTCCAGAACCCGGGGAGGCTGTTTTCACCTTCCCAGTGGCTCGACGAAAGCCTCTGGAGCCCAGGGAGGGCAAAAGTGCCCCCTGTGCTATGGTGCACGAGGCTGACTAGGCCACGCCCACCCAGCAACCGGGCAGAGAACCGGTTACTGAAATTTTTGAAGCCCACCCCTGATTTCAGCATATGTAAGTTAGGATTGCAGATGTTTATGGAGCTTCTCAAACATCCAGGTTGTTTTTTTCAAAAGGCAACTGGACATTCTTGTTTCTTTTCCTTGAAAATGTTTTACTTCTCATCCAAGAAGTTTCTTCAGTTCTAACTCAAATTCTAGTTCTAATTAAATTCCAGTTGCCTATTGAAAAAAAAATACTGTTGGGGTTAGGATTGCAGCCATTATATAATCACAGTAATATTCCAGTATCCCAACCTTAACACTTTTGGGTAGAAATCCTGCATAATGTAAAACATGCCAATTGGAAGAAAATACAACTAATGAGATGAAGAAAGGAGACACCACCAGGCTACTCTAGGATGAAATCAAAGGCACATCAATGAAGAAACACTAATACAACATTGCTAAGAAAAATACATAGCTGCCGTTACAAGCAAATGAGTTTAATTTGAGTGGAATGTATTGTTAAATAGTTTGTAATAAATGAAAGAAATGTTTCATTCAATAGGAAACTGCTACCACAAAATATAAGAAGGCTGCTGACTCAGCTTTAAAGGAGATTAGATAACCATGGATGTTAAGACTGTTCATAGTTAGTAATTATGATTCTAAGATATGAAAGAATCATGGTTGCTATATTCCACTAGTAATAGCTCTTGCTGAGGACACCAGCAGCAAAATGCTATTGTACCTGCTTATAGCTTCCCCAAAACTTCCAAATGAGACTGCAGGATCAAGATGCTAGACTAAATAGGCTTTTCATTTGATCCAATGGCTTTTATGGATTGGAATTCACTTTTATTGTTGCTCTATAAGTAGAGCTCTTTGAATTTTTTTAATAAAAATGGTAATTTAGGTGTGGCCATATATAATTTATATTATGATATATTATAGGAACACACAAATTTGCTAACTGAGACCTTTGTTTTTCTTTGCACACCACCACAGGCACTTTAGCATGGAAATCTGCATCAACATCAATAAAAGATTCTAAGGGAAAAAAGAAAGCCACATTAATCATGGTACCAAAAGAAACATGTCTACCAATGTGTCTCTCCTGAAGAAAAAATGAAACAGAAAATGTATATTTCATTTCTGTAGTTTATTGGTGGACTCACATTGATGTAATTTGCATGAAACAAGTGAAATCACAGTATAGAATTGCTATTTGAAATTATCAGGTGTGGGTATTCCAGAAGGTAATTACTAGTATAGTTTATTGCACTTGTTAAATAAATCTTAACAACTGAACTTCAGTTGCAATAGCAATACAAATCTATTTCAGATTATAAGAAAATGAAATAGAATATGTTTTCAAATGTTTAGTTTTTTTAAAAGAAATATTCTGTCCAGTTATGTAAAATACATGCTTGGTCTTAAATTTCTGCAAACTGCCTTCAAACTTTAGCTATGATTAGACAACCCATGACCCATTGGGTCAGCATCTCAGAGCTGTTTCCTACCCAGATTTTCAATGCCTTCAACAGTGACACAGCTCCTAATGTAATATCTTTACTGGAAAAGTTCTTTAAAAATTGGGGAGGTATTCAGGGTTGTATTTGTTCTGAAAATAGCCCATGTTGAACTTTATAGCATGGTCAAACATCAGGAGTTTATCACAGAAAATGTAATAGGACAATTTGTATTATATCATAAATGCAGATTTTGGACACATTCTGTAACTAAGCCCATATGAGTTATCTTGATTCAAAAATTGTTGCCCTACAAAATACACATTTTGCCCAATTAAGATTACATAATCATCAAGGAGATGTTTAGTACTATGTATATGATTTTGTGGAAATGAAACAAAACCTAAAGCATATTTCTTGATATTAATTCATGTACTACATATTATATTGAACATCTGAAGATTTCTTTCAGCAGCAAGCGTTCATTAGAGGCCTCAGTAAGCTGGCCAAATTGTATCTTCATTAAAACATGAAACTAGCTAGATGGACATATCATATAAGCAACATATATAAATTGAGCTTGACTAGCAAAAATTTGACTGTAAGTTCTATTTTTTTCATTCATTCCTATGAAAATACACTTGGATTGAATGGCAAACTGGTTATAACTAATGCATGAACAATTGTTATAGAATGAGGTATGTCAACCAAATATTCTGAATATTACCTAACTACTGCAGACTCTCTTCTACTGGAAGCTTTTTTTTTTGTTCTGACTTACAATACTTAAATATTGTGTCTTTAGTGAAACTCTGTTCTGAAAGAAATGGTTTCAGTAGTATTTTGTTTCCAATTTAATATGTGTTTAAGTATATATTTTATTCTTGATACACTAGCCTTATAAACCAGCAAACTAGAAGAACTAGTATTCATTAGTCTTAATGAACTCATAAATTGGAATTCCCTATGGCAATCTAGTACAGGAAAGGCATTTCCCTTTGGGCTGCTAAAAGATCCCCATTAGTACATATCTCTAATCCGATATTTTGGCATTATGTCTTCCCATCACCATAATCTCTGAAGAATTTATGAGCAATGATTCATTCATACTTCATTTTAAAATATTTTTGAGTGAAAATCACAGCTCAACAATCAAATTACAGGCCTGACCTCAAGCATTCCCCATTCCAACCCAACGTTTCAATCTGGTGTCCCTGCACTAATGTCTCTTCTTTTTAATTGCTGTATACAGAAATGGATAATTACATCTATCCCTGAGAAAAACAGAGATGGATGTAATAGCTGTGTGAACTCCATGCACTGGATGTTCCCAATGGTAGAAAAGGATTGGAGGAAAGAAGAAAGAACCAATTCCCTTATTCTCTGATGCTCTTATTCTTCCTGAATATTTTCTCCTGAAAGTTTGGGAACCCTTCAAAATAATATATCACAGCAGGCTAGGGGTTATAGGAAAAGAAGAAATGAGCACAAATTACCATTCTGCTCCTTTCCTCCTAGCAATAATCACCTTCCTTAAATATAAGGGCAACAGAGGAAGTTTTTCATTGATGGAGAGAAATTCTGATCCAATCTAATTCTTCTGGTCTTCCATCTAGCCACAACTAAATTTTTATGAGTGCAAAAGAATGCTATTTTTTCATGTCAGAGGAGGAAAAAAATTAATTATAGACTGAACTCTTACCACTGCTCTTTAAGCTTTCTTGTCCAAGTAAGAGAACATCTGGTTGGGACATCTATGAAGAAGAGCAGAACAAAAGTTACATAAATGTAATATTTTCCTAAGCATTATTTCATTATTTCAAAATATCAGTCAAGCAGAATAATTGATATTCTAATCTCTTTTCAGTTAAACTATCCAATTAATGGGGTCCTGTTTGAAAATATTAGGAATAGTATAAAATTACTTTCTTCAAATGTTACAGCTGCTCTAATATAACTGTCCATTGTGACCTGTCTTCTGCCAAAGATCTACATGAACCCAAAAAATGTTGTGACTTCTTTAAACATCACCTTTTTAGGCTCATGCAGTGTCTTAAAAGAGGTGTTTGCTTTAATGAATACCTGTCAGTATTGCATGAGAGCTGAAAAATTTTATTCTCAAAGTGTTCACAGTGCTGATTAATACATTAAAGGGGGAAAGTTATTCTGTAGTATGGAGGGTGGCCCATGAATTTTTAATACATAAATGTATAAGTTTATGCCAATAGGGCTGGATTTAAGCTAACATGAACAGTTTCCCACTCATATAGCATCTTATCCTTTTCCTTGCAGATCAAATAGGTTCCAAAGCGTACTTCAGCCATCTACACTAGATTCTACCACAGATCATGTGAAGAACTCATTTCAGAAGAAATATAAAAATTTTATATCAACAGAACAATACTATTACATTCAATCCATAAGTATATGCAGACTAGCTCGATATCCGTGCTTCGGCGGAAAACTATGTGGTCGGGCTTAGTTTTTGGGGAGGAAAATAAGAGGACAAAATTCTGCCTGCCTACCAGCATCCATCGGCATTCATCTGGCTAGCGTCCTGTCCAGTGTGTGAGAGTTGAGGGCAGTTTGGAAACTGAAACAGTATTTGCTGTGTGACCAAGGAGATAGCAAGGAGCCTGGGTGTGGCTTAGCTCAACTGTTCTGTACCAGAGCTGGCTGCTGCTGTGAAACTAAAACTGAAACTCCTCTCCTCTGCTTATGTTTTGCATTTGGGACAGATTTCTGTTCAGGTGGGGAGGGAGAATAGAACTCCTTAGCATCAGAGCATATTAATAATATACAAAATACTAATGCTCTGATGGTCATTTAGAAAAATCCTTTCTTAGTGAGCACCTAAAAGCCAAGATGCCAAATTCAAGTTTGTAGGCTTTACAATTCTGGAGATTTTGTGATGATGTGTGAGTGGTATTTTGCTTTTATATTTAGATTCAAAATTACTGATACAAACTTCTGTTAAACAAATAGGAATGTTATTTCTCAAAAATCAAATAAATGTCTCAAATAAACACATTCCCCAAAGGTGTTATTTTAATCCAACAGTTTACAATATCAACATGGCACAAATTTAGATTTAAGAGTCAGGCTGCTACAATCCAATTTATTCTGTATTTGTTAGTAAGATTAACATGCTTACACTGGGTGGAAACTGGATATCCAGATTTATATCAGAATTTTTAAAGCCAAATCTGCTCCAGGAAGAACCATACAACCTTAGAGAACAATCTACAATGAAAGAAAATAATGTTAAAATCAAACTGAAAACCAAGAAAAGCCCAGAGCTGTCCAAAACAGTCTAATCGAGAACTTTAAAAGGAGCTATTAAGAGGCTCAACTTTCAAAACCATCTGAAGGTAGCTCATCAAAGTCTTTACATCAATTCATTTTGTGACTTTTTTCACTAATATTTAAATTTTACTGTTTTAGGCACATATTTTACATTATGCTGCTAAGACGCAGGGAAAATGTTCACAAGCAATGACATGTTAAAAGTTATTAAAATAAAAATCTATGTATAATCATAATAACCTGGCAGTTTTGGTTGAAATATATTCTCCATAGTAGTTTTGATTCCAAGCCTTTGTTCTACATCTTCATTATTTAATCCAAACTCTTCTACTACTTTTTGAACGGCTATACCAATAGCTTCAATTTGCAAAACTGTTGGTGGAGGAAGTGCATTCAGCAGTTGTTGTTCTTGTTTTTCCTTTAAAGATAAAATGAAAAGCAATCTAAATATGTCAGATATTTTAACAATTTAAGAATATCAATGCTAACGCACAAATCACTTAAACAATAAGACTATCTGAGTAGAAGTAGAGGCGGACTTGGACTCCCAAAATGGGAACTCTATTACCAAGCAGCAATACTATTATGGGTGAGGGAGTGGATAAATTTGAAAAATAAAAGAATTTTGGCAATTGAGGGCCACAACCTCCAAGCAGGGTGGCATGCCTTCCTATGGAATAAAAAAAAAAAACAAGACACATTCATACTTCCATAGACATTTGATAAGAGAATCACTACTGCAGACTTGGGAAAAGGTTAAAAGAAAACATTATTTGAAGATACCAAAATGGGCCTCACCAATGGAAGCAATATTACACCCAAATATGAGAGATACAAAGAAAATGGTCAGATATGAAGAACTATTAGATAACCAGGGGAAGTTAAAAATGATTGATAAATTAAAAGAACAAGATATAATTATAGATTGGTGGTCAAACTTACAAATTCAGACAAAATTTAGGAAAGACTTAGAAGAACAGGGATAGAAAAGGACTTACAACAACTGGACCAAATTTTGACAGGCAAGAGATAAAATTTATAACAAGAATGTATAACTATTTGTTGGAAGTAGAATTAGAAGAGAAAATAGTAAAAGGATCAATGATTGCCTGGGCAAAAAATGTAGGACATAATATAAATTTAGAGGTTTGGGGAAAATGTGGATTAATAACTGTAAATTGACATTGTCAACAGCATTGAAAGAAAATCAATATAAAACATTTTATAGGTAGCACCTAGCCCTGGTAAGACTGGCCAAAATGTATCCAAACACAAAAGCAGAATGTGGGAAGTGTAAACACAAAGAAGGAATGTTCTTCCATATGTGGTGGCAATGTCCAGAGGTTAAAAAATATTGGATGAGGGTACAAAGATGGTTATTAGAAATTACAGATCACAAATTAGAACTCAAACTGGAAATATTCTTATTAGGAATAATTAAGGGAAAATTAAGCAAGGTCATCCGATACATCATTATACATATCATAACTGCAGCGAGAATAGCCTTCGCACAGGGATGGAAGAAGGAAAAGATACCATCTGAAGAAGACTTGACACAAAAAATAATGGATTGTGAGGAACTGGATAAATTCACAATGGAATTAAGAGGCAAAGATGATTCGGACCATTATGCAGTTTGGGATAGGTGGTACAAATGGGTGGAGGATAGAAATAAGAGTTGATGTTTCATATAAAAGGAGAGGTATGTATTAATAACGACCCAAACCTGTTAATGTGAATAGAGATTTGTATTTTTGTTTTTAAAAAATAAAATATTTTTAAAAAAAGACTATCTGATTTTCCTTCATATCTTGGTTAAAAAAAACAAAAAACCAATAAATTCAAATGTACCTTCAAAGGGCATTATAATTTATTTCTTCAATAGATAATAGATTATTATCAGAATATAGAAATCCCAATTAAATCACAAAAATATTGCTTTTGCAAGCAAGAGAGCACACATAAAATATTACTAATACATACAGAAGATTAGATCTAATTTTAGTTGTAACTATAGCTAATCAATGATATCAATTCAGAACTGATTTTCAACTCAATTCCAATAACATTAAATCTAGTGAAATTATGCATTTCAATTCAGAATTAATTCTAAGTTTATTGAGTTCAGTGGTTTAATTCTAAGTTTCATTACATTAAGATCCAACCCATTGTGCCCACATGAATGACAGCTGGAAGAGTAACAACATAAAATACAGATGTCTATCTCAAGAAGCTTACAATATAAAATTCCACACCAAAGAAAAATAAAAGCATTGTAAACGAACAAACAACAACAACAAATAGCTGCCAAGGCAGCAAACCAATTATGATAAAATAATAATCTTCATGAAATGGTGAAATATAACTTTGGAACCACAGTAGGGACCAGAATTTCCATTGCTAAGCAAGGTGGTTATTAAGTGAATAGTGCCTTATTCTATAACCCTTTTTCTTATGGTTGCTAAGCAAATCATCTCAGTTAAGTAAATCACATGGTTGTTAAGTGAATCCAGCTTCCCCATACATTTTGCTTGATAGAAGCCAGCTGGGAAGGTCACAAACGGTGATCCCATGAACCAGGATGTGCAACCGTCATAAACATGTGCAGGTTGCTAAATACCTGAATTCTGATCATGTGACATTGAGGATGCTGCAATGTAAATCACTATTTTTAGTGCTGTTGTAACATTGAATGGTTAAATAAATGGTTGTAAGGCATTCATTTAGCAGTAAGGATGTAAGGACTACCTGTAGGCAAAGAATTTGAGAAACAGTTTCTGATCCAATGCAAATAAGTGTCCCAATTACAGGTAGTCCTTGGCTTACAACACTTCATTTAGTGACAGCTCAAAGTTACAATGGCACTGAAAAAAGTGACATGACCATTTTTCACGGTTACCACCTTTGAAGCATCCCCATGATCATGTGATCAAAATTCACATGCTTGGCAACTGACTCATACTTCTGACTTTTGCAGCATCACAGGGTCATGTGATCCCCTTTTGCAACCATCTGACAAGCAAAGTCAATGGTGAAGCCAGGTTCACTTACCAACTGGTTACTAATTTATAAACTGCAGTGATATACTTAACAACCGTGGCAAGAAATGTCTTTAAATAGGACAAAATTCACTTAACAAATTCTCACTTAACTACAGAAATTTTGGGCTCAATTGTGGCTGCAAATCGATGACTACCTGTAATGAATACCTGCTTGCCTGCTTCAATCTCCAGTCTGAAAGTCTCCTTTAAACAACTATCTTTTTTCTACACTGACTTTTCTAGGAGGCCCTAAGCTTGCTAAATGGATTGCTGCCTAGCTCTATCGTGAAAATGAGTTGCTGCTCTTAACTGCTACTGTAATGTTATATCTCTTGAACATGGTACACAATTTCTGTTGTCTTGATAATTACATGGGCTTTATGTGCCATATCACATTCCACAATTATATGCCCACAGAATCCAAAGCAAAGTTAATAAGAAGAGCTAGTCAGAAATCAATATATTTTAGTGTACACAGGCACAAAACACAAATAAGACCACATTTGTATTCTTCTTCTCCCTTTTTACATCATGAAATTGAATATTGCTGTTCTTTTACTGTCATTAACTTACCTTTGTGTTTTTCTTGTGTCTTTTTTCCTTGATATGCTTATGAGCAAATGCCACTGACTCAATCAATACGTCACATAACTTGCAAGCATATTTAGCTGTTGGGTAGCTTCGAGGTCGCTAGAGAAAAATAAATTATGATTTTTTAAATTATATTTGTCAAGAAAAAATATATGGTCATAAGATATATTGGGAACTATCTTGCCCAATTAAAGCTGGGCAGATTCCAGTTTCTAGTTTATTTAATGACTTCATCTTTCCCATGTGGTCTGCACACAGTTCGTGTAATTCATCTTCACTCTCTGTTGAATTAGAGAATTTTAACTGCAAATACTGGCAAAGTCAAAGATAGTAAACCAGGAACTTCAGAATGCTACCAGATACTAACCAATGTTGTTATATATTGAGGCATACTATATTCAACTGCATTTACTGGTTTCCTGCAGCTATGTCTGGCTTGTTCTACAATACTTTGTCAGAACTGAAGTCCTTACTTTTCTGTACTCCTAAAAACTTAGAATTGTTTAGGTTTTTTTAAAAAAATATGGCTTGTCATTCTACCACTGTATATTGGGTATATCTGAAATTCTGTGCTCTGTAGGTAGTTTGTAACATCCTTCTCCAGTCTGGAGCTTCCCATTTGTGTTAGATAGCAACTGTCGCTTCTCATAATCTGGAAAATTTGGAGATCTTGAAGGAACTGATCTGGGATAAGGCTAATTTTAAGTGTGAAAATTGGCATATAACATTTATATTTTACGTATTCAGAATAGTATTCATATGCTACAACTGCAAAATTGTATTGAGGGTGATTCCACTACAGTGGGTTGCTCATTAGTTTTTTTTACTTTTTAGATACTTTACTGCACATTTAAAAACACATGTTCAAATGTTACTCTAATATACCCGCTGGGCATTTGAATAAAAACTTGTAACAATTTATAATAGATTCACGGAAACCATTGCTACTTAGTATAAGAAAGCAAATCCCTGTAATTCTCAAATAGACAATTCTTACGCTTTCCCAAACTTGTTTATTTCTGCTTTTACCCAACCCTGGTTCACATGTTGAAATAAGCATATATGTGGTAGAAACATTACCTTCCTCAGTCTATAAATGTAGTATCTCTTAAGTTGTTTTTCAGCCTGCTGCAACCCCAGTAATTCTTCTGCTGTCAGTAAAGACTCATCTATAACAGGGCCATCCATTTCATCATCCTGATCATTGTCTTCTTTTTTTATTCTTCTTGATCTCCTTGGTTTCCTATGTTTCTTCATTTCTTTTTTGTGGTTATCAGAAAAAGAATTATCTTAAAACTTTGCTGAGGAATATTAAGTAATGAAGTTTTGAAAGTAATGGTTTAAAAACTCTGGAAGTAGACCCAACCAGAGAGCATACAATACAGAAAAGATATTCAGAAAATAAATAAAAGTACAGCATAGTCCTGTGCAGGTTTATTTACATGTCTCTAGCATATGGGTGCAATTTTAAATTTCTAGTACATCAGTTTGAAAATAACGTGTACTTTTAAACTCATGTTTTCCCTGTGTGTCCAATCACATTTGGCCAATAAAGAATTCTATTCTATTCTTAACATCAGGTTAAGTTGAATAATACTGCGTATAACATGAAAAAGGAAAAGCATGGTAATACTTAAATTTTTACTTAAAAACAAATGTCAGTTCTTAAAAAGAACCACTGCAATATTTGGAAGAGGCAGAGTCCTATAAAAAGCTCTCAGATGTGTATTTACATATGGCACACAAAGCAGAATTCAGCAAACTTATGTCCACTGAAAGGAATGGATCCTGTACAAAATACAGTACTATGCAACTTTCACATATTGTCATTTTAGTAGGAGTGGTACAGCTTATTCCACTGGTGCTGTTACACTGAAACTTAAACTTTTTGGCAACAACCTGAACCTATGGAAATTATGTCATTCCTAAAATATTTAAAGTAATGCTTATAATGGTTTTAACTGATATATTATGGGAGGTCAGCAGTATTCAGCCACTTACCTCACAGAATTCACTATTATATTCTCTGCAAAGAAACTTCTAGATTTGCCAGAGGAAAAGCTGAAGGTGTACTAAACCACCTAAAACTGTGCCGATGTTAATATTACATATCATTCAATCCTGGGCTGTTGATTTGAGCTCCAAGCTTGGCAATTTGGTTACAAATGTTTTGTTACCATTCGAGGCAACATTGTCAGTGTGCTTTGAATTGTGCTTGTCTGTCCGAGCACTGGCCTGTGATGCAAAGTGCACTGACGATGTCTCATCAAATGGTGATGAAACATTTGCAACCAAATTGCCAAGCTGGGAGCTCAAATCAACAGCGCAACTATCAACGTGTGCTACTAATATTCAAATACATTTCAATCATTCAATCCTCACAACATTGTAACAAGTCTACTTTAATATTTTCAAGGATTAGAAGGTAACTTCCAACTCTAAATGATGTAGCCAATATTCAATAGTTTATATCAAACTATTCAATAGTTTAATGGTTCAAATTATTCAATATTTAATAGTGTGAATAGTTTCAATAGTTAGTAATGACTGCAGAAAAATATGGAAGAGTGATGATCTACAGAAGTTGTATTACCAGAATTTCCTTTTCTATCAGATAAATCTTCACTTGTGAGGTCTCTAAAGAGCTGCCTTCTCCCACTTCTGCCTCCTAAACTCTCACATTCATGGGGAAACTCTTTCCGTGGTCTGATAATCACAGGTATCCGGGCTGTGGATTTGAATTCTCTCCAATTGCTGGAATTAGCTTGATGGTTGTCAGACACCCATTTCTTAATTTGGTCTTTTGAAGAATCATTTATTCTTGCCCCTTGATTGTAAACAATGTTTTTTGAAGAATTTGGACTACTCAAAGCAGCATGTGCTCCCTTTCTAGGACTTGTTCCATAATCATTTGATGTTCCCTTTCTTTTTTCAAACCTGGTGTCCACTTTGCTACTGTGTCCATTTCCACAATCGTCCATCACTTGACGTGAAGCACATTTCTGGAAATCCTCCTCATTTGTAAGTCCCCAGTCCTTATTACGTCTTGTATAGCAAGATTTTGCAGCATCGCCCATTGTAATAACTGTTTACTCTTTCCCTGTGGATGATGGAAAAAACTAAAATAAAATTTCAAAATAAGATCAGGTGCTTGCAAGAGTATGGGATAGTTATGGGAACGTATGGGACAGTTCAAATTGTCAGTCCCATATATCAAGACACAAGGCACCTGAAGCAAACGACAACTAAGCCACTTATATAGGACATTTTCAGTATGAGGTCTGTACTGTTTCTTTCAAGTTTAACATAATACACAACAGAATACATCATGTTATAAAACTAAGATTATCATCCAAACACAATAAATGTATTACTAAATGTTCTAATATTGATGGATGCTATTTTAGCTATACAAACTAGAACAAATTAAATCAAAGTTCTCCAGCCTGATAGTTTCACGTGTGCTGGAGATACTCATGTTGGCTGGGGATTCAGGGAAGGATAAGTATAGCAACTGAATAGTACCAGGTTGAAGGCTGAATAAATGTTCCAGGAAACCTATATGTTTTAGGAATTTATTTGAATATCTGTTTCATACATACCTAGCATTCTACAATGCCTGTTATTCCAATAATGATCATTAAAGTCCCCCCAGTACCTAAAAAAATCACTAAGCTCCAAAGACTATATAGTAAATAAGAGGGTAAGTGGCAATATGCAGTGGTATTTTAAAGTAACATTCTAAATTTATTCCCAAGAGACAGAAATTTAGAGAGAAATGGTACCAGTCTTAAAATTTTACAAATTGACTATATGTTGATGTGCCCTCAGTGCTCATTTTGGCAGTCTCAAATTTCAGAAGCAGGTTAAGAAAAAATGAGACATTTCTCATTAATTTCAGGCAAAAATAATATAAATGCAATGTGTAGCTCAATTGCCTCCAAAAGCAAACCATCCCAGCCCAGTCATTTCAGTGACTCGTATCGTAGATCATTAAAATGACATCCTCTCCTTATGCAACTGCCAATCAGCAATCTGATTTTAAAAATGAGGCCTTCATCACCAGGAAGGGAATCACCCATTTTCAGACTTAAATTAAGTCATTGTCTCCCCATTTGACAACCTTCAGAAAGGGGCTTATATATCTCCATAGTGCAATGCTCTGAGATTGTTGAATCAATGGCAATTAGAAATGCAAGTAGATATGACCAGCTAAAAAAATAAATCAATAATTGCAGGCAAATTATAAGAGGACATATTTCAATTCTACTCTGTTCATTAATTCTTGAGGAACCAAGATAAGTTTTCTTGAAAAAAGTTAATCCATTAAATAATTTACTAGGCATGCCACATAAAACATACTAAATTTTAATCTGACAAAATAAAAACAAGCTGTTATGCTATAAATTTTATTTAACATGAAAATTTGATTTCTGTATCACTTTATTCTAATAAATCAAGGTAGCTACTTTGAACACAATAATTTTTTTAAAAAGAGCTTGATTCTAAGTTTTTTCCAAGCTGTTATAATACAGCTTTAAGTATAAAGATGCATAGAAACCCAAATCTTACAAGAAAATTGAACCCTATTGAGCACAGATACGCCTATTTACAGAATACATTACTAAGTACTGTATGTTTATGTAGTAAAAACAGTGCCTATTAGAAACACCCAAAGCCTATGAGGAAGCCATGTGATTTACTAAAACATTTTTCAGAATAGCTATTTGTTAGATTTATATGGCCACCCACTCACTGACTCTAGGTGGCTTAAGAACAACCAAAAAACGTATAAAAGAATAAAAAACCCAATAACTTCCTTCCCCTCTGGTGACAATAGACTAGCAAACAAGCCACTTGACAGGCTCCATTGCACTCTTTATATGGCAAAGCGACAGGGCAGAACAAATTCCATCTAACTGTCAAGGCTGCATTCACCTGAACAAATACAAACAGCATTACCAGAGTATGTATAATGTCACTGTGTTCCCACATTTTTCTTTCCACCCAAAGAAATCACATAAATGTCCCATGAGGGTAGCTATATAGTATATTTCTAGAAAGAAGTAATCAGTCCAGTCTTAACATTAAAGTCTGACATGGAAAAAAAAATCAGATGTCATTTTAGCATCATGTGTTTATAGATTAGGAAGTGTTCCTGCAGGTACAGATTCCTGCAGATAAATTACTGTGATTTATTTCTGTAATTACTGCATCATCACCATCATCATCATCCTTATTATTGCATCTTCAGGAATGCTTCTAAATCTACAAGCACCATGCTAAAATGACATCTGATTTTTTTTTCATTTCACATTCACATTGCATTGTTAAGACAGGTAGACAATAAAGGCCATCGTTTAATAAAATGGGTATATGCATTCACTGCTGCTGAGAAAGCATATATTTCCTAAGCCGATATGAACCTTCTCAAGTGAATGAATGACCGCACATGAAACACCTGTTCTTGCCACATCTGAACATTAATTCTGAGCCAAATATGGATCAAATAATCGAATCTGATCTTCCTCCCTCCAGCTACGCTTCAAGCCCATCTAGTTAAGGAGAAAGGAGGTCGCCGTCCAAAACAGATCGCAGAAGGCTATATAGTTATAGGTAATAGGGTAAACAGACGATAAAGGAAGTACACAATAGATTCGCGAAAACGTCTATGACAGCAGGGGCAACTTGGGAGTCCTCCTTCCCAAGGGAACAGTTGCATCATCAGCCACAGCTGGAGGAGGAGTTCTAACCGAGGTAATGACTTAGGCCCCAAGGATGACAGAGCTCCAAGCTCTTAACGTCCGCCTCCATCATCTAGTACAGTGCTTTTACGCTGGCATCGGGGAAACCCCCCCTCCCCCAGAGGGAATCCCACCGAGCGGGGCTGCGGGTGGGTAGCTAGGGAGGTGGGTGGGGCCGAGGGCGTCAGGCTGTGTCCCCCTATACTCCGCCCAAGGGGGCGGGAGAGACGGGTCGACAGGGGACAAGGCGGAACTCACTTCGACGGGAATAACAGCAGCTCTTCTTCGGGCCACAGGCTCTCGCCGGTCGTGCCTTCTCGCCCCTTGCCCCGCCCGCTTGCCGGCTCCTGCCCTTCCTTCGGTTACTGCTCTCCGTCCATTGTGCCAAGGCGGAAGCCCGCAGCAGCCGCAGTCGCACAACAAAACCGTCTCAGCGCCTTCCTCCGCCCACTCTCGGTCGCGCCGGCCTCTCTCCATCCGGCACATTCTGTTTACCTCACGGGGTGCCGGCGCCATGACACGAGAGGTAGAAGAAGACCCGCGGCTCTCCCCCACCCCACAGCGCGTCATCATCATCATTGCAAAGGAGCACAAGTAGCTCCTGGTGTGAAAACTTAGGGAAAACGTGAAGACGCTTCCCCCCACCCCACCCCCCAAAAAACCCTACTGTTTTTTAACGCATAGTTGCAAAGTTTAGGATCTAAGCTTAAAGCAATTTTGCATGGTAAATTTATCCTACCTTGGCCTACAAAAAAACTACAAACACAGGAAGCCTGTATGCTCCTAGTAGAGCCTGCCTCTATTCTTTCATTTACTCTGAGGTAGATTAAGCAGAGGGAGAACCAACCGCTCCGCAGCAGAAATGTTAACACGAGTGACAAAGGGTTTAAGGTCTCCCTTTCCAATCCTATTTGCCATGTTGATTTTCCAGAATGCAACTGAAGCAAAGATAACTTCTGAATATGTGGGGGTTTTTTTTCCTGACCACAGGTTTCTAGTTAGAACAGTAAAATCTTTCCTTTAGATTTTATTTAAGAAGGCCTAATCTCCGTTGATTCTGAAGTTAGGTGTTAAGTTTGAGCAATGAGAGGCTGAACCAGAGCATGAGAGCAACAATACTTTATTATAACAATAAAGGGCTGACCGTGCTTGCCACGCCTGGAACTGGCTCGCAGCAATCAGCAACTGGTTGGACCCCGCAGCCTGCTTTTATAGCTGGCTGCTGGAGAGGGTCAACCAATGAGGAAAGGGGGAAGAACGCCCACACAAAGTGAGTGGACCTGAGTGAGAACTCCTAGAGTCCTCTGGACATAACACCCCTTCCCCCCAGATGCGAACATGCATAGTCCTTGAGGTAGACGGGGGGGGGGGGTTTGTGTTGGCGCCCGGAACGGCGCAGCTCGGGAGCATTGTCTGTCCGTTCAGAATCAGTCTGTGACGGTTGAGCCGGCAGCGTGTCGCCAACGCGCTCTCCGGATTGGGCATCCTCGGGACTCACAGGGTTGGATGCTGGGACCGAATTCCCGTGGGCTGGATCAGGCTGGTCAACTCTCGGGGCGCTGTTGTCCGAGTTCGGGCTGACCGGAACGGCTGTTGGTGCGGACTGGACATCGGGTGTGATGAGGCTGAGAGGCGGATGAGGCGGTTCCCTTTCGTCTGGTGATTCTGGATTTCTGCTGGCAAGGGTGCTGTGGCGCCTCCGTAGTTGGTCTATGTGCCTCCTCCAGACGCGGCCATCCTCCAGCCTGACCCTATACGATCTCGGCCCGGTGATGGCGATGACCTCGCCTGGCATCCATAGTGGGTCCCCCGCGAAATTCCTCGCGAATACAGGCTCCTGTAACATAAAATGTCTAACCCCCGAAGTGGAAGCGAGGGGAGAGTCAGGGCAGTAATTGGGGTGAAGTCTGTCCAATACAGTCCTCAGGCGCCGGCCCATCAGGAGCTCCGCTGGGGACTTATTGGTGACTGAACAGGGGGTTGAGTGCTGGCTCATCAGGAACCGTGAGAGTTTGTGGTGCCAGTCATCCCTGCTGAACCTGGCGAGGGCTTCTTTGGTGGTCCTGACGGCTCTTTCCGCCAACCCATTACTGGCAGGGTGAAATGGGGCTGTGAAAATGTGGCGGATGCCCAGGTTGGCAGCAAAACGGCTGAACTCTATTGATGCGAACTGTGGGCCATTATCGGAGACGATGGAGTCGGGTAGCCCGTGCGTAACGAACAGGCGCGTTAACACGTTGGTGATTGCTAGTGTGGTGGTCGTGGATAGCTGTGCTACATCCATTTGGAATAAGCGTCCACGACCACTAGGAACATCTTCCCATGCAAGGGGCCGGCCAGATCGATATGGATTCTAGACCAAGGGCCGCAGGCGCTCTCCCATCTGGTAGGGGTGGCAATGGGGGGAGCAGGACGGGATTCCTGACAGATGTTGCAGGAACTTACCCAATTGACAATGTCCTCGTCTAGACCCGGCCACCACACGTAGCTGCGTGCTAATGCTTTCATTCTCACGATGCCAGGGTGTCCTTCGTGCAACGCCTCCAGGACTCGGGTACGCAGCGAGGTCGGAATGACCACTCGAGTGCCCCATAATAGACAACCCTGCAAACTGGACAGCTCCTGCATTCGAGTCTTAAATGGAGTTAATTTGTTATCAACGATGCCACCTGGCCACCCCCTCCTCACCCAGTCGAGCACCTGGGCGAGCGTTTGGTCTGCCTTGGTTTTGGCGGCGATGTCAAGAGCGGTGATGGGCAGGTCCAACTGGGTGATCTCGAAAATGGCGTTGACAGGAGCGGGGTCTTCAGCTGGAGCGGGTAAGGGGCAGCGACTGAGAGCGTCGGCATGGGACAGTGTTTTGCCTGGGCGGTGAATAAGTTTGTAGGAGTAGGCCGCTAGGAAGAGTGTCCACCTTGTCATTCTAGGGGAAAGGACCTGAGGGGTCTGTTTGTCCCCGGCCAGTAGGCCCAGGAGGGGCTTATGGTCCGTAACCAGTTCGAAAGAATGGCCAAAAAGGAATTCGTGAAACTTTTTCACGGCCGCAACAGCTGCTAGGGCTTCCTTGTCGATCTGGCTGTAATTGCGTTCCGTGGCCGAGAGCGTTCTTGAGAAAAAGGCAATGGGAGCCTCGGCGCCATTGGGAAGTCTGTGACTAAGGACCGCCCCAATTCCAAAAGGGGATGCGTCTGCTGCCAGTACTAAAGGAAGGTTAGGGTCGAATTGGATAAGCACCGCCTCTGACGTGAGTAGCGATTTGACGGCGTTAAACGCCTGGTCTTCTTTGTGCCCCCAGTGCCATGGTGACTGTTTGTCCAATAATCTGTGAAGGGGTTCGGCTACTGAGGCTTTGTGGGGCAAGAAGGATGCGTAAAAGTTCAGCAGCCCCAAGAAGGCTTGCAGCTCCGTTTTGGAGGTTGGAGTGGGAGCCTCGTGGATTGCCCTGACCTTGGACTCCAGGGGGTGAATGCCAGAGGTGTCAATTTTATAACCCAGAAAGTCCACCTGTCTAGTGGCAATGGCGCATTTTTCTTTTTTTAACTTGAGGCCATGCTGTCTGAACCTCTCTAACACAGCTCGCACTCTCTGGAAAAGTTGGGGTCTGTCCCTGGCCAAGACCAAGATGTCGTCGAAGTAGGGTACTACACCAGGGAGGCCCTGTAAAATCCGTTCCATGAGGGACTGAAAAATCCCTGGGGCCACACTTACGCCAAATTGGAGACGCTTACATCGGAAGGCACCCTTGTGCGTGACGATGGTCTGGAGTTCCGCTGTTTGGTTATCAACAGGGAACTGCTGATACGCTTGAGACATGTCCAATTTAGCGAAAATACTGCCCGGCTCGAATGTGTGCAATAAGTGCTGAATGACGGGCACAGGGTAGGCGCTAACTTGTAAATATTTATTGATTGTTGTCTTGTAGTCCGAGCAAATTCTCAGGCTACCATCTTTTTTGAGGGGTGTGACGATGGGAGTCTCCCACTTGGCGAAATCTGTTGGCTCAATGACCCCTTGTTTTAATAGTTTATCTAATTCAGCGTCTAGTTTTGGTCGAATAGCAAATGGAACTCTACGCGGTTTTAGTCTGATTGGGACTGCCTGGGGGTCCACTGTGAATGAGATGGGGGTTCCGTTATAACACCCCAGCTCTTCGCTGAACACATCTGCGAAATCAGCGAATAAGGAGTCAGTGTCTAAGGTTGAGACAGCATGGACTCCTGTTAGCCCTAGGCCGAGGTGGGGAAACCAATCGAGCCCCAATAAGGTGGGTAAATTGCCGTTAACTACCACTAGAGGTAGGTGACCTTTAAAAGTTCTAAAACTGACAAAAAACTTGCCTCTGCCGATCACAGGAATGGTCTTCCCCTGGTAGTCCTTCAGGCCGAACTCGCATCTTTGAAGCCGAGTGGTAGATAGGCTTGGGTGGAGTCTCTTGAGGGTGTTCCACGAAATTATTGAGAGCGCTGACCCTGTGTCAACCTCCATGTGGCACGGTTTACCTTCTAGGGAAACGGAGAGAGAAATTTTACTAACAGTGTGGCAAGTACGCTTGGCAAGGCGGTGCGTGCGACAGTTTAATACTTGCCTCTGAGGTCCCGAGTGCGAGGGAGGGAGTCTGTGTGCAGCGCTATGGGGGGTTTGGCAGACTCTCGCGATGTGCCCCCTTTTATGGCAGTTGTTACAGGTGGCTCCTTTAAACTTGCAGGTGGCCCTTTGATGCGATCCCCCACAGGATAGGCACAGTGTGATGTGCTTGGGTGGACCGGTGTTTTCTTGTTTGGCCCCTACCTGCGGCCGTTTGTCGTAGGTGAGGCGGTGTACATCATTTTCGTCGTTGAGGGTTTCCTCTGCTACCACCTCCTCGGAATGGACTGGGAACGATGCCAGCTTGGCGCTTGGGCCCTGTATTTCGGTGGCTGAGTTTGTTGCCAGCTCGGCTGCCAGGGACTCCTCGACCGCTTGTGCGAGGTTGAGGTCTTTTTTTGCTAGAAGGCGCCTCTGTAGGTTGAGGTCCTTGACCCCACAAACTAATTGATCGAGGAGCATGTCCTCCAGGTATGTTCCAAACCCGCAGTGCAGAGCTGCTGTTCTGAGGGCGGCCATATATTGATTGATGGTCTCCTTACTCGATTGCTTCCTCATACGAAACGTGAACCTCCTGGTGATCTGTGAAGGCCTGGGAGCGTAGTGGTTAGTGAGGATCTCAAGCAACTCGGACCACGGGACGTTTTTCAACTCTCTAGGAGCTACGAGTGCTGCGGCAGTATCGTAAACGGTGGCTCCGCAGTAGATTAGGAAATAGGATTTTTTCCGATGCTCTCCCGCATCTGCCAGGCCGACCGCATCGATGTAATGGTTGAAGCGGTTCTTATACGATTCCCACTTCTCTTCGTCTGGCTTGAACGCCGGGAATACTGGGTTGGAACTCATG